GATTTTGCATACTGGGTAGAAGATGTAACAGAATTTCCCAAGCTGGTAGACTATTTTTATCTACGGAGTTTGCGGCTATAACATGAATGACAACATGCGTTTGCTGTAAAATATTTAATGCTTTCAGTCTTTTGAACCCGGAATAGACTGTCAGTGGCCTGGAAAAGTAATTGGACTGTACATAGTCCTTACAAACTAACAGTTTATCTTCCCTATTAGATAGAATATGGTACAAAATATCAGTCATATTGTTTAAACGTGTGATTTTATCAATAGATGCAAGGAATTCATACGATGCGCCAGGTGTTTCATCAGAAATAGCTTCGATATTTATGTTGAGCAATGTTGTCAGTTGATTACATTTATGCAGATTATGTTGGGCATGAAAAATTGTTTCGTGTTCGTCGCAATAGTTGGAGGTAAAGCATTTTTGGCAAGTCTGCAGTTTAGCCTGTTGGTAACACTCAAAACACGATTTCGGCCACAAGATCATTTGCTTCACGCACGGCTCCAATGGACGATCAAATACTTGTTGGGTCGATTGCAACAATTCATTTCTTGATTGCAACCATTGCTTCCAATTGCTGAATCTGCGTTTGTCCTCTGGCGGTTTTACTTTTAAAAGCTTCGCTATCTCCTTACAGATATTTGAGTGTTGCGGCTGGTGTTCTGTTTTATGATCTACGCTGCAGTAAGAAATCATGCAGCACCAATCACATAATATTAAATTATCCTTGTCTCTTTCCTTGCAGACGTGACATATGTTTGGATTGAAAAATTGATTGTAACGGTCAGGCGTGTATGGTCCATAATATTTCAACTCTTGCATATTATCTGATAAATTTTCCTTATACGTAATATCACTTCAGAAGTAATGCGTAGATTTGGTACGAAACGTCAGAATTCTTTATACAAATCCAACGTGATTATTCTGACGATTACTCAAAGAACAATGCCACTTTGAAATGTAACTAGAGACATAATGATATAAATATCTGTCTCCAAGCGAAATATTCCCAACTTCAAACATACAAAGGAAGATGTGTATACGTAACAGACATATGAAAACGTTCTGTTTGTCTCGGGAATTGTTGACAATTCGAAATATAACTGGAGATATATAACGCACAAAGATTCCCTGTTATGAGCACTTCAAGTTAAGTAAACGATACGATCATTGACGAAACAGCATAATGTTCCATGACACCTTACTCTTATGCGCCCCTCTAAGGCCAGCTCGGATTCGCCCTGTGAAACGCAGTCGATCAAAAAGTCAGTTAGGTAAACCGCGGTCTTAACAATGGGAAGCCACGCGCCATATGCGGCCCCACATGCCGCCGTTGCGCCTCGGGGCCGTCGGTCGCCCTTCGATAGATGCGGGGTGTCGGTCGGGGACGGCTCTTTACCTTTTTTTTTCCTCCGACATATTATCGAGTGCGTAGGGCGTACATAATGAAGACCGCGGCGCGCCGCCGCACGTGATTCATAACTTATCGCGGCCGATTATCGATTACGTGCTCTGAAATTGAACGAGCGACTTTTCGGTGTGCACGTGAGTCGCGCGCCCAAACCTTCGATATACAAACGCTGCGGGGCGTCGTCGTTTTACGTTCGCTATTAACCCTTCGCTTGCGACCAGATCGGATATTCTGTACAGCGATTGTTGAGCAGTTGAGATCTCGTTAGTAATCAAGTGATTAGCGCGCGGTAACTATTTGGCCGGAGTGCTCGATTACACCTCGTACTTCTTGTCCACAACCTTACTTTAATCTTTAAGCCGTAAGAAATTGACCGACCACACTCGATTGTTTTAAAAATAATCAACTAGAGATCGCTCGAAATAAGTCAAGCGTGATTGTTGTAAGGTAACGTACTGCGCGAGTCAAGGATGGAAACTGCGAAATTGTCGGATGTTCGACGTTCTGTTTTTACTTACTTACGATGGAATTGACGAAAATTCATCTCTCGACAAATTTCACGAGCTTTGGGTATTTGCAGAGCGATGAAGAATAGAAATTTAATGAGCGGGGATCAGTGAGAAAGAGACATGTGGTCGGAATCTATAAAAGTAATTCAGACTCAAAGCTGTCTGTTACTCTTTGGATGTTAACGTAGAACCTATTTTTAATAAAAAAGATAATTTTAATAGTTTCGTATCACACAGGAAATAAGAGACACGTATTGTTTTTGTACACACTTATGCACACATTTAGGAGTTAAGATTCGTCAATGGCTCGTATTTATATTCACTTTGCCAAGTCATCACAGCTGAGACTTTGATAATTAGGACATCTAAACTTGCAACCATATCCTCGTTAGTGACGCGTTGTTTTTTGTAAAGCATTGTTTTACAAAATCGCTTGAAGCGTTCCCTTTGAACAACCAATCCCTTTTGACATGCACAACCAACCAGTTGTAGCGCAACGTGTATCGTTTCCCGCTGTCAAATTTTATCACAGATTTTGTCTGAACGACATTTAACTCGCGGATCACGATAACGATTGAAATCTCATAATGGAACGTTTCCTCTCTCCCTCTGTTCTTTCTCTCTTTTTTTTTACATCGTCACCCAGTGCAGTAGGATCATGCGATTTCAGCGCGAATCCGCAACGATCGAAATCGCATCGCGAATCCCAAACCCATCGATGTATTAATGATTCGTGTACGACGGCGAAGCCAGGTAGAGAATATCGCGGGCTCTTCGGTCGCGGGGAATGTTGCGTTACGCTGTTGTGTCGCACCCGGTATAAACTGGCTGGTCGGTATCTCCGACGCATGATAAATCTCCCGTCGCGGTTCGAGCCCATCGTATCGCCGCGGCTATTTTAATATTTTAAAGTTCCACCCTAAACGCGCGCACTATATCAAAACTTGCGCCATAAATTACTCGTTGCTATCCTACCAACCTCCTCTTGATACTCTCTCTCCCCCCCTCCTCTCTCTCTTTCTCTTGTCCCTGTCCTCCTGACATTCTGTATGCTGGTGCGTTCGAATGGCCCGATGCTCCAGACGATTATTGCGTTTCCGCACTTGACCTTTCGCGACGGACCTGTGGAAATGAAACGATCGATGTTCGATCAGCGACGAAATGTCACGGGCGCATTTAGATCTTTGAAGGCCGGTTGTTTTAATTTCTTTATAAGCTACCTAATAGTTAAATCATATGTTTGCCTTTGTCTAATTTGAAGAAAAAACGAAGATAGACACATGATTTTACTGTTAGATAGCTTGTCAAGAAGTTGATACAACCAACTTTGAGAGAAATGTACGAGTCGATAATTTTACAGGGGACAAGTTAGTAACTATTGATAGCAGGTTAACTTTAATCTTGCTCCAAGTGATCTTTTTCTTTTAATTACGAGCGACGAGGTGCAATGACGCGGTTGCGTTATTAATAAAATGTAAATATCGGAGATAAGTCTCAGTCGGTGGCGACTGAGCGTGTGAACGGCGCCGATAAATCGAACGAGACCGTACGGCTACCTTCGGCGAAGCCGGCTTCGGTGGTTCTTGTTATTGGACACACGCGAGCTTTTTATAGAAACCTCTTCCGTTCCCAGGGCGTCGTTATTATCCAGTTATAAATAGACGTTCAATCCCGTCGAGGGATTTCGTTTCACGCTTACGTACGATACGCGCTCTAACGATCTACGTGCCGTCGCGAGAGCGCCCGGGTAAAAGTGCAGAACTAATTTCAGTTTTACAGCGGACCGAGAGAGCGGTAATAATGAATGCCCCGGGACTGCTGATGAATCCGGTTTTACTGCCGCCCTAATACTTAACCACTTGCTGAATTGATGCTGCTTAAACGGCAGTAAAGGCCGGATTGCCTTCTGCAACTAAATTTCGCTATCTTTCGGCGTTTGGGCCTCTACCTTCCTACGCGGCCGAGATAGCCGCTCTCAACGTGCATAATATAGTAAAAGTTGGCGGATGTCTGCTCTCAGAGGCACGCATCGCTCTCTATCTCGCCGTCCCGCCGTCTCTCGCGATTATCCTCATTATCCGTATCAGTACGTTATTAGCGGCCGTCATTTCTTCCTCGCACTTGAACGGAAATTACGACTCAATCAACGTTCCAACACAGCGCCGTCTTCGTGCCTTTGGATGCCCTCGGAAAGCAGAATTATCAGGCTACCCCGCTATCACGTTATTTAGTCCAAAACGTACACTCGTAAAATGATTTTTCGCGAATGTAAAGCGCTCATTTGAATGTCCAAAGTTTATCTCTTTGCCTGCGATCGAGTTTTTCGGCAGATCTAACTTGAAGATTGTATTCTATCTCCTTTATGAGTTCTTCTGTATCAGTCTCGATGTATGTCTCCTTTTATTACGGGAATTATATCACTGCTATTCGTCCGAAAGCGCGACTTAAAACATAAAAAAACGCCAAGACGGCGCCTTTCGAATAACCTTTGTAAGGGGCTTGTGGATTGGACTTTCGAAAAATATCCACGCTTTGTCGATATGTCTCTCATGTCGTAAGAATATTCAAAGTGAATATTCAATTGCACTAAAATTGCAAATGAACACTCTTAATTGCACTCTTCTAGACGAAAGTTTCGTTCATATAATATCTTAGAATTCCTCGCAACGTTTCTTTGTTACAAAATTTTTTGACAAAATTTTTTGTTACAAAATTTTTCTTTGTTACAAAATTTTTTGACAAAATTTTTTTATAGCGCTCTTTGAACGCAAATGATTGATATTTATTTTAGGAATCTTATAACTCCTATACGCCTTTACCATTTCTGCGACACCAATAATAATTATATTTTCCTCGTATGTGACATCTTATTAATTCTTATTGACATTCGCGTTGGACATCTTATTGACTCGTTTTATACACCTTCGTTAGTGAATCTAAGAGTCTTACTTCTTCATGAAATTATTATTCTTTTTTCCACACAATTATAATTGATTCAATAATATAGAAGAAATAGATATCAGGTTCTCATGTGGTTTACGATGATGTCATAAAATTTTGGGGACCCTTTCAGATTCCTCTTGATGGAAGGCAGCACTGTCCTGACTCCGAAGAGTGGCTCGGCAGGAATTCGCTCAAGCGGTCGACCACTTCAGCCAGATGTTAATTAGCGATGCAGCCTTTAATTGCAAACGTGAGTGAAACGCAGCCAGACGGCCAATGGCGAACGGATCCGATAGGAATGCACCAATACGATGAATGCGCCCGGATCCGAAGAGTGGCAACGTCATATTAATTGTCTCAATAAACCCGGCGGGTTAACGAGCATGTGCAGCAAGAAGCTCATCTGCGACTGGCATACATGGCGGTGTCTTTGTAGAGTTCCTCGGGACAGTAGCACGTCTTTCTCTCTCTTTCTCACGTGCACTTGCCTCTTTTTTTCACCCGGTAAGTTCCCCATGCCAGACAAAGTCGCAATGGGAACGTTCGAGAGCGAGCAAAAAAAAAAAATCGCTGCACCATGAGATGATCTAAGAGAGGAAGTAGGTTGCTCTCATTAATTTTATTATCCCCGAGATGTATAGTCAAAGACGAAAAGGTTGCAAAACTTTTCAATGATCAATATTAATTATACTTAGACTTCCAATTATAAAGAATTTTTTAAGCCGGTAACAACCAATACGTTGAATGATAGTTGTAAATAATTACGGAAAGAAATACTAATGTCTGATGAACTTGACAAAAGTATTGAAGAATTTTTGGGACTGTATTGCTCACCTCAAGAGAGAAATTACTGAATTATTATATATACGCGATTATATATATACACAAGAGCGTGAAAAGAAAACAACGTAACTATTATTAAAAAAGGATAATCTTTATTAAAAATGTTTATTGTTTAATCATAATTTACAATAACATCACTCAATTATTTATAATAAATTATCTACGACAACAATTACCTACAACAATAGAACAATTTAATCAATAGAAAACAAAGAATGGAACAATTATCGTACGATGTTGGCGCATTATTCAGCAAGTATTTAATAATTAAGGTAAATAATTAAATAATCATTAAAGAAATATATATCACCGGTATCGACGTCTTTGTGGGGCACAAGACCACTAAAATAATTTTTCATCTTCAAATGAGGATCTACATGTATATCTAAAATTTCTGTCATCTTATCTATGAATTGTTGTGCTTTCTTTGCGCTGGAAAAACTTAAAACTAACGGACAGGATACAAACCGAATTATATTTATAACTTCGCTTAATGTATTACCCAAAACATCCAAGTTCTCATCAGGGTCTATATGAAATCCTACAATAATAGTGGGTACCTTGTATCTCCTACTTGTTATATATTTTTTGTATAGCATATCGTACGAAATTAAATGGAGTATGTTTTTTCTATTTCTACAGCGCTCACATAGTTTTGATACATACAAATATTTGTTGAGTCTCATCCCTACTATTACAATTATTAGATGTTGTATTTCGGGTAGAAGGTGTAATAAAATTTCCCAAACTGCTGCACAATTTATATTTATAGTCATTGTGGCTATAACATGAATAACAACGTATGGCTTTCGTATTATGTCTAAACGTCCTAGTTTCTTTAATCCAAAATAGATTGTCAATGGGTCTGAAAATTGGTCAGACTGAACGTAGTCTTTAGCAAGCCAAATTATATCTTCTTTTTGTGGTAGTACAAATTCTATATAAAATTGGAGCATCTCTTCAAAATCGCTCGTCTTATTAACAACCTGAAGAAATTTGTATGACATGTTATTCATACTACCAGAGATAGTTTCGATATCTATATTAAGCGATAACATCAGTTGATCGCATTTGTTTCCAACGTGTTTTGTGTGAAAAATATTTGCGTGCTCATCGCAATAGTTAGCCGAGAAGCATCTCTGGCAAACCTGCAGATCGGTCTGTTGATGACATACATAACACGATTTTGACCATAAGATAACCTGCTTCATATACGGATCTATTTTGGACACTCTTTGTTGAATTAATTCAGTCAATTCTTTTCTTGATTGGATCCATTGTTGCCAGTTGTCGAACCTGCGTGTGCCTCCAGATATCTCTTGCAAAACTGATGCAATATCTAAGCAGATTCTCATGTGTGTCGAGTGGTGCATCGCTTTGTGCTCCTCGCTACAGTAAGGAATCAAGTGACAGAAATTACAAAATATTAAATTGCCTCTGTCTACCGACTTGCAAACATAACACATGTTTGGATTGAAAAAGCGACTATAACACATATCCGTGTATGGTCCACGATATTCAAGCACTTCTTTATTTGGATTGCTCATGTTGATAAATCTGCTTAATAAAGCTTTCTGCTATTTTATCCGTAATATCATTTGAGAAATAACGCGCGAAAACTCGATATGGAAGCGACAAAATAATAATATTCTTTACGAACTCGATATGGAAGCGACAAAATAATAATACTCTTTACGAATACGAATTTTCAATGTAGATGTTCACACGGCAATTGCTGGAAGGACAATAATAAAGTGTTTATATAAGTGTTTGTCAACATCTTGGCAACTGTTGTCGATTTGATAATCCGTGTAGGATTATCCGTGTAGGATAATTTATATAACTCTAGACCACATGTGTGTGCGCCCAACTTTCCTCGGTGCTTTCGATTAGCTATTCGGTCGATAATGTTCGTTGGTTTTACGTCACCGCTGAAAAGCTAATAAAAGTACGAAGTACGATGGCTTCCCGACACGCGGAACACGGAAGATAAAACAATAGCGAAGTTTCGGTGGCCTGTCCATCATCTCCGCCGAAACTCCGGCGTAACCAGAGCTCCAGCGGAGTTTGTAGGATGCAGCGGGACGCTCGCTTTTCGCTTTTATCGAAAATTTAATGCCACCGCCGCGTTCGCTCCCGGGAAGTAAGTCGTGATGAGATCGATCGATCGAACGTTCGGTCGATCCACTGGTCGATCGAGACAGACCAGGTCACTCGGATAAGCCAACACTCGCGACTTGTCGAGCCGTGATCCTCGTTCGCGAGAACTCGGGACGGGAGACGCGGATAACGAAGTTCGGTCGTAATGAAGGTTTTACGAGGCCCCGATAAATCTCATCGCGGGCCTCGGCGCGACCTTATAGATATTACTTCGCGAAGTTCGCGGAAATCGCGATGATAAAGCGATCTTCGGTCCCTACATTACGACGCTACAGAGCGCGGAGGATTTTTCTCGTTTAAATACATCGCGGGATTCGGAAAAGTCTCACGAGTTTTGCGAATCAAGCCGCTCGATCCACGGATAATAAAAAGTTGCGCGGTTATGAAGATTACCGCGTCGCTGCCGCGTGAGTCGAGCGAAACTTTCCTCCCGGCTGTGAGATCTTTTAGACACGCACGCGACTCGAGCTGCCTTGCAGAATACGCGGAAAGCAACGAAGGCGCGACGAGTACGACAACTCGAATACGACACTTTCGTATTTGCTAATTTAATACAAGTAATCGATTTTTACGTGTGATAATGTATGTACACGGAAGAAACAATTCCGTTAGTGTAACTGAATTTTCCATTGCTTGGTGAGAATAGGGACCAGTTCAGACAAATATATTTTTGATTGTGGTGATAAAGATATCACTTCACGAAATTTTCATCTGGTTCAATTGCACGAACTGACATTTTTCTTCCGTGTAACGCTCTCATTAATTCGCTTCCCGTTCTCCGGTATTCGCGGCATACTAATGTCGTCATTAGAGATTCCCGGCGAGCAGTTTATAGGCGCGGTATATGAGATTTATAATCCCCCGTCGTGTAATGTCGTTGCAATCGACGTGCTCTGGACGCGTTCCCGAAGCGAATCGTGGGGCAACAACCCTCGAAAACCCCCACGGTTCTGCGTATTACAAAATGCCGAAGGAGACACCGTGGAGAAACGGCAGTTTTACGAATATTAACAGCCGCTCCCATCTGGGAAGGATATGCCAGGAAAAAAGCATTAATGGGAGTTATTATCGGACTATCCCGTATCCTCTCTCTCTCTCTCTCCCTATCCCTTTACTTGCCTGTCTGCTTGCTTGCCTGCCGCGCTTCTGGAGATCGAAAAGAACGAAACGAGATACGAGATAGCGACTGCGAAGGGAGCTCCTTTACGTCTCGAGGCCTACGCCGTGTATTGGAGCCCTGAGGCTACCCGGGCCCGTTAAAAAGTAGGAAGGAAAGGACGGCAGGAAGGGGGAAAGGGGACTGAAGACACCTTTTAATGCTCTAGCTCACTTCACCAAAACGAGAGACATCGCTTACTTTTCAGCCGGGTGTGTTGTCGCTATCAATAGCAGCCGAGGCTGCCCTCTTCCATCCCTCTGGGTATACCTTCTCGCAATCAACCCTTATCTCGTGTCGCCTCGCCTATCTCTCGCACCCCTCTTCGCGCATCGTCCTCGCTCCGCGCAGTCTATTTAATTTAAATAACTTTTAAAAGTTCCCAGCCTTCTCTCCTCCCTCTTCCTCTCCTTGCCTCTCTCCCTTTCTGCTCTTTTTTTCCTAGTTGGGATCGCCTTGCTCCCGAAGACACTTTACAACCGATCGCGAGGTTCTGTCGTTTGCCTTTCCACCACCTTTATCCCCGCTTTTTTTCTTGTTTCTTTTCGTTCCTTCTCGTGCAGATCAACCCGTCCGTTCTTTTGAACCCTCTCCTTTCAGACTTTCTCCTTAATGCTGCGTGCAGCAGAGGGACGTGTTTTTATTCGCTGATTTAATTATGAAATAATTCCGGATATAATGACTTTGTCCCTCTCCGTTCGACTCGACGTTCTCGGAAGGTCAAACGAACAACATCGTAATTATTCCCCCTTTCTATAGCGTTGATATCCGATTGGCGGAATCGAATCAACCGTTCGCTATATCGAGCAAGAAATCGAAGGGGTTAGAATGACGAGAAACTCATCGACGAATGAGAAGTCGCGTCGTGAATATCTCACTCTGTACAAATTACGACAATTTTGAGCACCAAGACGCATAATCTCATTCTTAACAGAATTCTCTTATATGTGGTCTCAAAAGGATCCTACTAAAACTAAAGAAAAAAATATTCTAGGTACAATATCATTCCTCTTCATTAAAAGAGAAATAGTCTTAAAAGTTTTCGTTTACAGATTACAGGAAAAAGAGCATCTTGCGATCTTTTTTAAATGTCAATATTTTCCTTCTGGTTTTAGAAGAATTTTCTTAAACTATAACATAAGAGAATTTCGCTTAGGATGAGATTATATTTTTTTACATAAACACCTGGTTTTGCATCGAAGCACTGTCTAATTTGATCAAACAGATCTTTGATACTTGTTCTATGCAGTTCTCGTCATTTGCCGGCGGTTAATCTAGGAGACTACGAGAGAATTCGGCATAGTTTCGATGCGCCGCAGGATTAATAATGAGCTCCACGATTGAGTTTCTCTCTTTCTCTCTCTCAAAGCCTTTAACATCTTATAATTCCGCACGCTGCATAAATTGCGCAGCGTCGCGGTTGAGATCAATGGGACGGCTCCATCGAGATTAAAGATTCCACAAATTTTGAAGATTCGTTTTTCCAAGGAGCAAGGAACGATCGCGATATAACGCCGAAGCGATGCACGTTGCGATCGTGGTTACGATGTATCGATTACGGCATCCTTGGTCCCTAAGCGAGCTTGACGAGAAGGTTCATCGGCCAAACGACGCTAGTCTTCAAAGTGCGCTCGGAGAAAATTGCATTCCTCCGAGTTCCCTTTCTGACCCACTCGGGAATCCACCGCATGCTGCTGGATATCCTGGAAACGCACGCTGCATACCCGGATACGCTCGTCCCTTTCTCCCGCGAATGGTCGAAATATGTTTCACGCAATAGCCAAGAAGGATTCGGTGTTTTCGCTTGCGACGTGAGCCCCTCTTCTCTACGATGTTTCAGGAGCCAGCAATGTCGAATGATGTGAGCAAGAGAGAGAGAGAGAGAGAGAGAGAGAGAGAGAGAGAGAGAGAGAGAGAGAGAGAGAGAGAGA